TTTTTTTTTGGTTTTTCGAGACAGGGTTTCTCTGTGGCTTTGGAGCCTGTCCTGGAACAACAAGCATAGTTTAAATATAACAAAGAAAGAGTTAAACTATATACATTAAGGAACAAGGAAAGGGATTTTATTCTATACCAACCATTTCCTATTAATTCAGTTTCTGATTAGTAGAACTAAACACATCTTTTTCTCAATTTAATTTAGGAGAAGTAATAGAACTTTTATGATCAACTTCGTAAACTGCCTTTAAGGAGAAAACAAATTTTTAAGTAGGTGTCACCATATTTACCGGTGAACTGACTGCATGGTCACCTTGGCTCTTTTAAGTCTGGTTATCATTAGAACTAACAAGAGCAAGTCCATGAGGCTCACAGGGAACTCAATGGCTGTGACATCCATGGGGAGGGCACACTCCACACATCACAATGATGAGCTAATGCTCCTACCCTCCGAGTCCACGTAAAAACATTACTACTCTCATTCAAACTAACTGGAAGTCAAACAGTTTAAAAAGTCAGAGTAAAGAATAAAATTACTCTCTTTTCACATAGAGCAGGGACACTCCCTCTGCTCCATTTACAGTGAGTTCTGTGCTGAGTCCTGCGCCATCAGAACAGTAAACTAAAAGTCAGTTACTGCTCGCAAAGCTCCAGTGGTCCCTTTCCTACCTCAGAGATGTTTCACACAAAAACGCCCTTGGTTTGGCTTGAAGCCCTCTGAGGAAATAGCGTGGAGGTGGAGGCAGGCTGGCACTGAAGGCCTATCCTCTACGAGCCACCCTGTGCCTTGTGTCCCCAGGGGCAATTATCACGTCACTGCCTCCAGAGGCTCGAGAGAGCACCAGAGGCTCCCACACATATGGAGTGGGGCAGAGATTGTTATGTGGTCCCACGGGGAGGAAGGGGCACCATGCTTTGCTGATCAAAACCTATAAAGCAGTCAAAAGTCCAGAGGATTGAAGCCCAATCGGCCAGAAGAACAACTTTGGAAATATCGATCTACTCAAGGGCTGTGGGAAAGACAGGGTAGTGGCAGGTTGAGTAGGGCAACAGTGACTTGGGTAAAAGCATGGAAGTGAAGAGCTGATAAGGCCACAGTTACTGCTACCACCTCCTGGTATCTATGCTTGGGCAGACATCAGGGGGTGGGAACTGAAAAACTGAGGGTTGGAGAGCACTGTGGACAACACAGGACATAGCAGAAAAGAGAGGACACTCAAAAACTTGCTTGTCCTATGGGCCTTGGATGTTCTGGGCCAGCAAAGAACTTTGGAGCATGGGTAGGGTTCCTGAGAATAGTCGGTGAATAGAGACGGGATGTGATGGGCACTGCTCCCATAGGCAACCCTGGACTGAGGACAGTAGCAGTGCCAAGCTTCCGGATTGCTGAAGAGCAGGTGAAGAATGGGCTTTATTGCACTTTCTCCTTCAGAGGAAACATTGCTGTCCCACAGAGGGTCTCTGGATTTGCAGAACACACTGCACATCAATGATAAGGTACAGGTAGAATCACAGATCACCTCTGCTCTCCAAAGAAAAAGTCCACCAGCAGGGCTTTTAGGGGGCAGCTTCTGTACTGGGATCCTTGGGTTAGATGTACTGTGTCTGGCCAAGTCACTGTGTGGCAGACAGAACAGCTAACTGGCAGATACCTTGGGAAGGTTCTGTACCCGGAAAATGTTGGGGCAAACTTTCCCAGCAGGGAAACTTCTTGGCCAACATGTAAGCTCTGTAAAGAGGCTGGAGTCACAATATTCAAACTCCAATGTGCCTGACTCCTTTTCTCCTACTCCCGGCTCAGAATACCAAGGTGCAAAGATGTGAAGCTGACCTGGGAGGATCCCTGGATCCTGTTCCATAGCATCCCTGGATCCTGCTCCACAGCATCCCTGGATCCTGTTCCATAGCATCCCTGGATCCTGCTCCATAGCATCCCTGGGTCCTGTTCCATAGCATCCCTGGATTCTGTTACATAGCATCCCTGGATCCTGTTACATAGCGTCAAACTCGAGAAAACAAAACATCTAAGGCGTTGGAAAACAAAAGAGCAGCTTACATCAGACATTGGTTTTTGCAAGTCTTTTTGAGTTCAGGAAACTGGAGGCAGATACCATGCAGAAAGCCCAGCAAGGCTGTCTGTCCTTTGGTCTATCCTGAGCAGTTCTGAACATTTCATATATAAATGGGGTGGTACCACTTATGGTTGATCTTTTTCCCACAAGTTGGGCAAGTGTTAGCGTTCTTAAGGGAATCACAGAGGCACTGGCTACAGAAGATGTGGCCACATTCTGTAGAAACCATGAGGCGCCCATGTAGTAATATGGGGCGGCAGGGCTGCGTCCCCCACACCCGGCCGCCCACATGGCTAGCTTATGCCCCAAAATAATTACACAGACACTGTATTCTTTTAAGCACTGCTTGGCCCTTTAGCTCTAGCACTTACAGGCTAATTCTCACATCCCGATCAACCCATCTCTAATAATCTGTGAGAACCGGTCTTACCGGGAAGATTCTAGCCTAGTCCATCCTGGGTCGGAGCTTCATGCCGGGAGCGGGGCATGGTGTCTCTCTCTGAGGCGTCTGCTCCCGAGAGAGCAGAGCTGTGGAGTCTCTGACCTCACTTCCTCTTCCTCCCAGAGTTCTGTCCTGTTTTCTCCTCCCACCTATCCTCTAACCAATTAAACAGGCCAGGGCAGTGCCTTTATTAGCCAATGACCTTCCTCCATCACGCCCATTCTGCACAATCTCAGAGTATCAATGTAGACTGTACAACTGACAGTACCCAAGGGCCTGGGTCCTTCATCCTTGGTGCTTCGAGGAGTGTGGGTAGTCGCTAAACATCTTTGTCACTAGACAGTTCCTCATCATCACTGCTCACCACACAGCTGTCCTCCCATTTCTGCCTGGCCTTCTCCTTTCTTCAACAATCGCAACAGAGTCATTGTGGGTGAGGTCCACAACCACAGGCTCTAGGGATTCACAGGTGAGGTCCACGATTTCATCACCAGCAGTTTCACGAGTTCTGTGGCTTCTGTTTCCAAGGAAATCTCAAGGGTTGAAGTTGTTTCCCGAGTTTGCTTCTGGGTTTGTCTAGAACTTACTGTTCCACCACGTCACTTTCTTTGAGGATTTCTCTAAGGTCATTGTACTCATTGTGCTCTCTGGCTTCAATCCACAGAAAAGGAAGTGATATACACCAAGGTTTATGGGGTGGTGGAATGTTCTTAGTCTCTCATGCCCACTGGGTATTCATCTCGTGGCTTACAACTTGGAGTCAATTAGATGTCCAATATTTCCAAGTTTTGGAGTTGGTGTGATCAGGCAGACGCCACAGTCAATGTGCTTGAGCAAGGACATACCTCCTCCACCAGCCACTAAGAAGACCCGCTCAAGCAGAACTCTACTGCCTCACGGAGACCCATTCCTGCTCTGCCAGCCCTGGCCCGCCCTTCCCAAATACTATTAAATTTTAGCGATAAGAACTATACATCTATTAATAGGCAGGTTAATCACAAGAATGCACAATCCCATTCCTTTTCCACATATTTCTTTTCTGTAATGCTTGCCTTGTGTATGCCAAACTGATACTAAACTAATTATCTAAGGCCTTCAGCATCTTTTGATCTGGGCACATCTTAGCCAGGGCACAACCTAGGGCACTTTCAATTCTATGAGACAGAAAACTTCAAGATTGGAATATCTTGACTTTGGGGTCATTGAAAAATAACTAGTTATAACTTACAAGTGATCTTTGGGGTTTCTTTAAAAACCTTTACTTCTTTATTCTCCCAGAGAATGGGGCCGGGGACCACGGTTTGATAGAAAGCACATTCATCCATTTAAGAACATTAAGCTCCTGAATCACTTATTGGAACCGTGAATCCCCCAGAGGCTGTCAGCGTCTGTACGAGGTAGAAAACAAGAGCCCCCGCCCCATCAGACAGATCTTCATTTTTGCTCTCAATTCACAGCCTCGCACAAAAGTCTGAGCTGCTGAAGCTTCCTTTTGACTGCCTCTGGAAATTTCAAGTTGAGAAAGAAATCACCCAAATTGTCCCCAAAAGAGAGGGGAAAAATATAGAAACAGTTTCCTGTTGGTTTAGACCACATGTATGTATGTGAACAAGTCTGACCAAGAGAAAACAAACAAAACACCAAAAAGGATCAAGCATAGTGCTTACCCACCTGTAATCCCATAGCCCGGAGGCAGAGGCAGGAGGATTACCACAAACTGGAGGGTAGTCTGGTCTACATAGGAGTTCCATATCACAGAACACTGCACAAACCCTTACTTAAACAGAGAAATGTGAGCAGGGAGAGGGAAGGAGAGAGGAAAGAAGTAAGAGAGGGATAGAACAAGAAAAAGAAATGTGTTCAGTGAAAATTTTCACATGTCAGAAGCATCTTTTCACTGAGTGGGTTTGGTAGCATGTCTGCAATCATGGCTCTTGGGAATTAGGAGCAGGAGTTCAAGAGCCATCCTAGACTGCATGAGACCTTGACTGGACCCTTCCCCAAATGAAAACATTAAGCACTTCTTTTTCAACATACACACATTCCTCCGTCCACCCGTCTGTCTGTCTGTCCATCCATCCATCCATCCATCCATACACCCACCCACCCATGAACGATTGGTCTCCTGCATTACTTTGTGGGGAAAACAGCTTAGATACATTTTAGTGACCTGTGTGTCCCTAACTGTAGTTAGGGATAGTCTTTTCAATCTGCCCACACAGGTGAGGGCCCTTAGAATGTCATGGCCACATTGGTTACACACAGCAGATGTTTGTGCCAACAACAGAGTAGTTTCTATAGGACCTATGCATGGTGAAGACAGAGAAAAGGGTGAAAGGGGGTGGCTGTTGCAAGCCAGGGAACCCAGTTGGTGTTTCCAGAAAAATTAAAGAGGGGTTTTTATTAGGTCTGAAAGTCAACTCCTTTTGAGACATCATAATTTAAAAAAAAAATTTAACAAATAGAGCAACGTGTTACTCCAAATTTCCCTGTGAGATTGATACTATTTATTAGAGTCTGGAGCCGATATACATAACACCTGACTCATAACCCATTATGTGTGTCTTCTAACCCCTCAGACAAAAATGCTAGTCAGGAATTAACAAAAGCATAACACAAAGGACTGAAGCAGAGAGAAATAACATGGTTTACTTGCTAATCTTAATGGCTAATCTAGGCTCTGCAGCAAGGAAAATCTAGAGTGTTTAACTGCAAAATACATCAAGCAAAGGAACTACACTATTTTCTCTTAATACAGGAAGATTTTGGTAGCTATAAAAATAGTTTTTCAGCACAAATATAATTTAACATACTCAGCTATTCTATATAAAAATACAGAAAAATAATTTTAAGTAAAACACAGACTAATACAGTGAGAGACACTGAGGAAGGGTAACAAAAATGTCAGGTTGAACATGAGCCTTGCTGACACCAGCCATACGCCCTCTAGCTTCAGCGATATGACTAAGGAAATTCCATTTTAACCATGTTTATTTAACTCTGTTGATAAGAGTTGTAGCTTCAGGTTTCTTAGTCGCATGCTTTAGAATGCAGTGATATGTCAAAAGCACTTCCTTTTCAGCTTTAAAAAACCAACAGGGCTGGGAAGAAACCCATCTTCCCTGTAGAGCTTCAAATTAACAGCCCCTTTGGTTTACTTATTTAGGAGTTTTAGCGCCAAAAAAATAGATTCTCTGAGTTAAAAAAAATACTTCTTTGGTAACATTTGTTGACATTTCCTATCAAAGTCTGTACAAATTGTTCAAAAGGTATAAAACGAAACCTTGGGTGTAGATGTACACTCGTGAAGGAATCGGTTGACAGGGAGCACAAGGTTCCCTTCTTGTCTGTTCCTGGGTTTGCGGGTCCTCCTCAGGCAGTCTCTGAAGCCCCCAGGAATTCCATTTGTACAGCCGCTTTGGCGGGTGGGGCCGAACCGCTCTTCTTCCGGAATTCTGCAGAGATTTCCTCAAAAGACTTTCCTTTGGTTTCTGGAACTTTAAAAAATGTAAACAGGGTGAAGGCCAGGACGATCCCAGCGAAGAGGAAGAACACGTAAGGCCCGCAGAAGTCCTGCAAGGAGAGCAAACAGCGGTGGTTAGCAGCTGGACGGCCTGCCCAGTCCTCGAGGGGGTTTGCACCGTGTGGGCACTTACCGCGATGTACTGGAAGCAGAGAGCAATAAGGAAATTGCAGACCCAGTTGCTGAAGGCAGCCAGGGCCAGAGCAGTGGGGCGGGGTCCTTGGCTGAAAAATTCAGCAACCATGAACCAAGGGATTGGACCTGGTCCAATCTCAAAGAAACTGACGAAGAGGAAAATGGCAGTCATGCTCACATAACTCATCCAGGCGAACTTATCCTAAAGACAAAGAGAAAGTCGTAAGTGGGGCAGGTGACTGCTGGCTGTAGCCTCCTTAAGTTTAGAAGCTCCTGAGTTCTCTCAGGCTGATATCAGAGGTGGATACAGCTGTGAATCGAGACCCCTCGTTCATTTCCCGGTTGCCCAAACCCGAATAATCATACAGAAACTATATTAATTCCAACACTGGCCAACGGTTCATGCATATATCTAGCTAGCTCTTACATCTTAAAGTAATTCATTTTTATTAATCTGTGTAAGGTAAGGTTCTGGCATCTGTCTCCTTAGGCAGCTACATGGTGTTTCCTTGACTCTTCCTACTCTCTCTTTCTCTCTCCCTGTTTGGATTTCCTGCCTGGCTTTGCTCTGCTAAGCCATTGGCCTGAAACAGCTGTATTCATTAACCAATAAGAGCAGCACATATATGGAAGGGCATCTCCACATCACACGTCTCTCTTCCTTGTGTGTTTGTTTTTCATCAAATTCAAGTTACTCTGGTTTGAAACAAGTTAGTCCAACCCAACCAAATCTTTTTTTTTCCAGAGTTTATTTTCATTTAATTTTTCTGTTCTTTTTTAAAAAAATGTATTTATTTATTATGTATACAGTATTCTTGTTATTCTGCCCACATGTATCCCTTGCAGGCCAGAAGAGGGCACCAGATCTCATTGCAGGTGGCTGTGAGCCACCATGTGGTTGGGGGGAACCGAATTCAGGACCTTCGGAAGAGCAGGCAGTGTTCTTAACCACTGAACCATCTCTCCAGCCCCCAAATCTTGCTTCTGTATTTGGAGCCCTTGCCCAGCCAATCCCTTGCATTAGGGCTTTTGGGGTTTTGTTTTATAGTTAATCTTTCCCTGTGACAGCAAGAAGACCCAGAATGCTTAAGTCTTCCTACCAAGATGGCCAGACAAGGTTTGACTCCCCATGTGCAAAATGAGCATGTAGGTAGGATGGGAGGGGGTCAGGTACGGCCCATGGTTACACAAGCAGGCAACCACCCATGCAGCCGCCCCGAATCGCAGGTGGCATCCTGGTACTTACATCTCTCACTCCAAGAACATAGTTCTCTTCGCTTGACATTTCCCCTCTCCCTTAGTTAGTAAGTCAATCTCATGTACTTGCTATGTACATGTAGAATTCTTTAACTTGGGAGCCAGAGATGTTTTCTTGTGGTAAAAAAACTACCAGCCCAGGTACCAAACTTACCAGCAGCACAAGTCCCACAGACATGAAGATGGCACAGAAAAACATCCCAATCATTCCAGCTAGAAACAGGGACCGCCGCCCAGCTTTCTCCACAAGCAGTACCTGTGGAAGTTCACACATCAGCTCAGTATTCTGTTGTCTTCATGCTTGCACACTTGTCCACTAAGGAGTGTGTTTTAATGTATGTAGTGGGATGAAGGCAGTACCGTGGTCCCCTTTACAGACATGCATGCACACTCGTCCACTAAGGAGTGTGTTTTAATGTATGTAGTGGGATGAAGGCAGTACCGTGGCCCCTTTTACAGATATGCAACAGACGACACTTGTGTGCCATGGCAGTGCTAGTCTCCATTGACAGTGGAAGTTAAACATTGGCTTCATTTGGACATATGGATTTGAGAAGTTCAGTCTTGGTATGGACCAGAGTGTTCCCAACACTCTAGGGCCATCCCTCTGAATATAGTAGTGAGAGGCTGTACATCCTGGTGCCTCCTAAGAGATTATCTCTGACATGAAGCTGTGAAAGATCTCCATTTCCCAGGGCTGGGGTGGTAGCTCAGTGGTAGATTACTTTCCTCATATGCACAGGCCCTGGATTCAACCCCAAACATCACAAAAGAAAGGAGAAGAACCTGCTGTACTATAGAGAAAAAGGTGACTCCAGTTTCTCACCTGCTGATGTAATCATTACAAGAGTCCCTATGCCACAGACATCTGAGACAGCTCAACTGTTCGGGTGTCAGCCATTCTTATCCAACCTTTCAGGGCTTAGTTAAGTCAAGTTATGATGGTTTACCTGTTGCTAAGTGCATTTGATCACTCTACAGAGAATTTGGTCAGTTCACCAAATCAGTGAGCTCTGTATATCCAGGGTGTGCTTATTTGTACCTTTTGTGGGGATAAACTGTGTATTTGGAAAGAGATGACATCACAGCAAGATGTTAGAGTGCTTCTTCATTCTGACTGAGGAGACCTGCCACCATTCTTTGAGCTAGGAACTTTTGAATCAAGATCATCACTTTCTGACTAGAGTCTGGCCCATGGGATCTTGTCAACACTGCATACACACACACACACACACGCACACACACACACACACACAGAGTGTGACCCATGGGATTTTGTCAACACTGCATACATACACACACAAGTGTGACCCATGGGATCTTGTCAACACTGGACGGACACACACACACACACACGAGTCTGGCCCATGGGATTTTGTCAACACTGGACACATACACACACACACACACACACAATTGTGACCCATGGGATTTTGTCAATACTGCATACACATACACACACGAGTGTGACCCATGGGATCTTGTCAACACTGCACACACACCACGCACACATATACTAGAGTGTGACCCATGGGATCTTGTCAACACTGATACACACACACACACTAGAGTCTGGCCCATGGGATCTTGTCAACACTGGACACACACACACACACACACACACACACACACAAGTCTGGCCCATGGGATCTTATCAACACTGGACACACACACACATACACACACGAGTCTGGCCCATGGGATCTTATCAACACTGGACACACACACACATACACACACACACGAGTGTGACCCATGGGATGTTGTCAACACTAGACACACACACACATGCACACACACACCATAGTTTCCCATCTTAGTGAGTAAACTGGTTGTGCTCATCAACTAAGTAAGCCAACAGCAAACCAACACCAGTAGCACGCAGAGCTCTGGGCCTGCAGACATCTGTGGAGCACTTATCTGCAGTAAAAGCCCTTTTTATCTCAGAGGCACTCAGATCGGTGTTTCAGATCACTCTAGAAATGGTGACAAGCCAAGAGCCTACATTTAATTACTAAGAAGAAAGCAAGAAAAACATTCCTATGTGTTTCTTTAGTGTGTGGTGCTTTATATGTGCTTTTATGTCTGTGTACCATACCTCTACAGTGCGTGCAGGTGTGTGTGGGGGCATCATGTCCCTGGGAACTGGAGTTTGAGATGATTGTCAGCTGCCATGTGGGTGCTGGGAATTGAACTCAGGCCCTCCAGAAAAGCAGTCTGTGCTTTTAACCACTGAACCATCTCTTCTCTTATACATTTTGATTCTTTCAAAGCAGGAGGGATGATATATGATGTTGACATAGTATTATCAGGGTATGAAAAAACAGGAATATTTCCACGGGATTATCTGCATCTTCTGTCAGTGAAAAATATTAACTGGATAATAAAAACTAAAAGTATGTGTGTTGGAAATTGAGTTGCATTCACTCCCGGAAGCTAGGTGACACTCCAAAGCACATGAGTAGTGGAGTATCATGACCAACCACTGGGCCATCTGCTGGATCACAGTCCTCATCTGTGCTCCGGTCTGTGCATCCCTCAGGTCCGGGTGCCTTGCTGGAGCCAGGCAGCCCCTGCTTTGCTCCAAGAGCCATCCTGCCTCAATTCCCCATCTTCCTTTCTGTTTTGTTCTTTTCTCAAGATCATAAGCACCCCTCCATTAACTCATCATTATGGATGAAATCCATAGCCACAGAGCCTGGACATCATTCAGAGTGTAATTGGGAGCGCCTCCGTTTCTCAAGTACGCAGGAAAAATGGGCTAGATGATTTATGTTTCTGCACGCATCAGTATGGACATTGTTTTCAAGTTCAGGGACACAAAACCAGTGTCCTTTGTTGTGCTGTGATATGGTTTGGTTTGCTGCACTATCTCACTGTGGAGCCTTGCTGTACTTGGACTTGAGAACCACCTCCCTTTTCCTCCTGAATGCTAGGATCACAGATGTCTACCACCACTAGTATTTGGGAAACCTACATAAAAACTACAATGCTTTCTTTAGTTGTGGCATTCTGATGACGTGATTAGAACTGATTTCCTTTGTTTGTCAGTCATCTATTTTAAGACTTTTGTTAAAAAAAAAGCTACGGAGAAACCCTGTCTCAAAAAATAAAAAAAAAAAATAAAAATAAAAAAAAAAAAAAAAAAAAAAAAAAAGAACAAACTCAAAATGTTCCATATTCAAAACAATTAAAGTGCATGTTATGTTTATAATTTGCAATAATTATCATTTAAACTGCTCCTCCATTCAAATGAGTGTGGGTACGAGGGAAGAAATAAAATTCTGCACATTTTTTTCTTAGGATTTGGGTTAAACAACTTGATGCTTAATATAGCAAATGCTCTTTTAAGCAATGTATTTTAATAACATGTCCATTTTGTAAGAAGTACCATTTGCAGGAGACAAAAGGACTAAGAGTGCCTTGGATGGAGGCTCGGGAATGGCCTTTAGGGACTGAAGCAGCCTTTGGCTTTCCCCAGTCTGTCTCTGAAGTGGAGTCTGTAGACAGGGCATTCTTTTTACTTCACACTACTTCGGCTCTCCATGATCTAGCACTGGGCAATGCGGTCTGGGGATTCAGGATGTAATTTATTGACCACCCCAAGATAATAAAGTCCATGTACAGAGAAAAAAACACGTGAACAAAATAAGCTGAGTATAGTGTTATGACCAACATTAAAACTCAAAAGCATTTTGAACATGTTGTATTCAAAGGTAAGAATCAGTTGAGTTTGTCTCGTTTTGAGCAGATTTCATTAGTTGAGAAGCCTTTGTACTACTTCTGATTAGGTCAAAATATTAAACTCGTCCTTGGCTTTAAGAAAGTAAATAACTTCTCTTTTGGAGTTGCTAATATAATAAAATTTCATATTTTATATCATTTCTACCCAGACTCCCATTACACATATTGGAATGTATCACCAGGAACCATTTCCTTGTGTTCTGCCCAGTGAGCTAACATCATAGGAATCTGCCACGCTTGTTAATTCTGCTTACAAGCTTAGTTATCTATTAGCTTTTTCAGTGTTTCCCCCAAGATATCAGGATGAAATCCCTCCACCAGGCAAGGAGAAGCTCGGGAAGGTGCCCAGTGTTGCTATGATGGCAAGTTATCAGCCGACCCTGAGGTGTTTAAATAGAGAAGAACCAGAATGCAGTCTCATAGAGAAAGAAGGTCTTGCCAGTGAGTTATTAATTCACCAAATGAAAGGATTACTGGCACCGCCCACAGTGGAAGGGCCAGTGACTCACCAGCTCAACCGGCCTCATCTTAGAGCAGTAGCCGGTGTGTGCACGGGACTTTCCCCGCCACTCACTTATCTGTGCACACACAGGGCACGTGGACGAAGCTGCGGATACTTTTAATCATAGGCCACCATCCCACCTGCACTCCCGGGCCAAGGAGCGGACACAGTGCTCCTCTGGGTAGTAACTTACAGAGACAGCAGTGAAGATCATGTTGATGGCACCAACGCCAATGGTGGCATACACAGGTTGGCTGACCCCAGCTGTCTGGAAAATGCTGGTTGAGTAGTAAAATATCTGCAAAATCAGAATAGGCCAGCCTTAAGGGGAGCCTCCCCGTGAGGCCCCCAAACCAAGATATATAGCTGCGTATTTTTAGTTTTTGTGGACCCATAGTCCCTAGAATCCCGTATGGTTTGCCTCGCCCTCCTCTCAGACAAGTCTTCCTCCAGCATTTAAAGCTCCCGGTTGCTTAAGAGTTCTTGGCTTTGGCTGAGAACTCCATTGCTTCATTCCCTTTATTTGATTAATTTCTAAACTTTTTGTTAATGTATAACCTTATAACAGGTACACCAAGTGAACAGGCCCTGTATGTTAAAAACTGATTGCAACCATGTAAAGAGAGCTCGGGCTAAGGACTAACTCATTTCCGGCTCTTCAGAACCCCTCTATCCCTTTATCCATCGTCCTCCCAGAGCTGCTCACCTAACATCTGACATGATAGATGAATTTGCCAAGCCCTGTTCTTGATGTTATTGTATCACGCATACTCTCTTGTTCCGGCTTCTTTTCCTAAACATTGTCTCCACAAGGATCCTTGTTGCCCTGTGCATTTGGACACTTCATTATCACTACTATGTGGTATTCTGATATACCTGCATTACTATACTTCAGTTACTTCTTCTACTTATTTTTTTTTTTTTTTGGTTTTTTCGAGACAGGGTTTCTCTGTGGTTTTGGAGCCTGTCCTGGAACTAGCTCTTGTAGACCAGGCTGGTCTCGAACTCACGGAGATCCGCCTGCCTCTGCCTCCCGAGTGCTGGGATTAAAGGCGTGCGCCACCATCGCCCGGCCTTCTACTTATTTTTTAGGGTATTTATGAATAGTTTTGCTGGGTATATACTTTTTGTTTTTTTTTTTTTGAGACAGCATCTCTCTATGTAGCCCTGGCTGACCTAGAACTCACTATATAGACCAGGCTAGCCTCAAACTTATAAAGATCCACCTGCCTCTGCCATCCAAGTGCTAGGATAAAGGCATGTGCTACCACTCCTAGCAGGCATATTCTCTAGCAGTTATTTTGGTGGAGGATGTGAGTATTTATGCCCAGAATTTGAATCACTGGATTAAGTGTCTGATATAAATTCAGCTTTTGCATAGATGCTGCCTAATAGTTACCAAAAAGTAATAAAAATTTTATATTTTCACCAATGTGTAAAACAGTTCTAGTTGCCATTGCAACTAAACTATCTATCTATCATCTATCTATCTATCTATCTATCTATCTATCTATCTATCTATCTATATATCTTGAATCTATCTATCTGTCATCTATCTATCATCTATCTGTCATCTATCTATCAATATATATCTTGAATCTATCTATCATCTATCTATCTGTACATCTATCTCTATACTTTGTATATGCATGTTGGGGCTCTGAACTCAGTGATCTGCCAGCCCTATTGCCTTCTTCTTAATAGAGTCAAAGTTCTATTGAATGCTGGCATTTTAAAATATTAAGCTAATTTCTGAGAACAATTGAAGCAAATCAAGGGAAATAAATTACTACCGAGCATATATTTGAATATTTGATGTCAGTTTTTTACAAATGTCTTCTAGTGACTTAAGCCTAAGCTTCTTTCTACCTCATCTCTTTTTGCTCTCTTAATGTTAGGAGGTCTTAAACATACCCCATTGATTCCAGAAAACTGCTGGGCCATGTGCAGCATTAGAGACACAATAATGGGCTGTCGGTAGCTGGAGTCCGTGAAGAGCTGGATCACGGAGACTTTCTGCTCAGTAGCTGCCTCTTCCTTTTCTTTTCTCATCTCATTAATATCTTTGGTGACATCCTCAGTTCCTCTTAGTCTCTTCAAGCCTGATCACCCAAAACAGGTTGAAACATCCCAGATTAAACAAAAATAAACACTTTGTTTCTGGTTACAAAGGCACGGCAGATCTGCATGCCCCTTTCTTTGACCTAGCAGCATAGATACTGGCAATTCTTCTTACTATTTTTTTGCTTAGATTTAATGCTGTTCTTTGATTGAAGAAAGAAAAGCAGAACATCTGACTTCATCTGGAGAAGAGAGAAAGATAAGGGGAGAGAGAGAGAAGTGAGAGGGGAAAGAGAGAGAAAAGAGAGGAAAGAGAGAAGAGAGAAAGAAAGAAAGAAGAGAGAAGAGAGAGGAGAGAGAGAAGGGGAAGGGAGAGAAGAGAGAGAGGAGAGAGATGGGGGACAGAGAGAGAGTGGGGAGAGAACACTATGCGCCTCATCACTAAAGCACAGTTCTGAGAAGGGCGGATTGGGAGCCTCTGGTAAGCCCAGTGGGCTACATGTGGGCTCCTGGTGTGAGTGACCACACAACATGCCAGGCACAGGTAAGTCCAGCACAACACAGCAGCCATATCTAACTTGAGTGTGTTCTTCTGTGCAGTCATCAGCTTCATCTACAAGGTCCTCATGTTGATTTTATGAGCAGCCATTCACATATACTACCTTGTGTTAGCTGACAATTCCTCAATAAGAATCAGGCAGCTCCCTACACACTTACTTTTCTTCGCTTTGACTTCCTCTTCCAGCTTTATATAAAGGTATCGGGGGCTTTCTGGACAGAAGAAGAGCAGGAGACACTGTAGGAGAGCTGGCACAGCAGACAGGCCAAGCAGGATGTGCCAACGATCCTGATTGCCCAGAATAAAGCTGAGGCCAGCTATCTGAAAGGACAAGGAAGGAGCATGTTAGACGCACAGTACTTTGGGCCTGGCTTCTACGGCAACTCATGAGAAAATGCATTGACTCTTTAACAGTGATCCCCGACTGTTGGTTTATGTTGACACAGAGGGGAGGCTGTAATTAGTGAGTCCCATCTTAACCCAATCAGGAACAATTTGCTAGGAAGGAGCCCAGCTGTGTTTCTCTTCATCCTCCCCAACCCATTGTTCATGCTGGAGATCAGCTCGACTCTTAAAGACACACCTAATAACAAAAGCAAAACACACAGTACGCTTGGAAGCAATCAGATGGAATTATGTTGTCAGAATTGCTGCTAGGTGTGGTGATGTGTGTCTGCAACCCAGGCCCTGGAAGAATACAGACACAAAACAAGCAAACCCCCGGAGCTTGCCAGCCGGCTGGTCTACCCCAACAGCAAGCTCCCTCTCAGAGACTCAGAACCAAGGTGGAGAATGACAGAGGAGGGTCCCTGACATCAACCTCTGACCTCTGCACACACTCATATTGTGAATGCACATGGACATGTATGTCACGCACACACATGCACACATGCACACACAGAAGGAGGCAGAGAGACACAGAGAGAGAGATGCATGACTTGCAGCTTTGCTTCAAAATCCCATCTTAGGTTATGCAGAACTTAAACATTTCATAGATAGAACAATTACATAATGGCAACCACTTTATGACAACAATTACATGTGACAACCAGGTTTATGATACCTGTTGCCGTGCTTTACAGACTTCCTTTTCGATATCTTTTGTTTTGGTTTTGGTTTTTTTTTTGTTGTTTATTTTATTTTTTTTAGTCATTGCAAAAAAGAAAATCCTGCCTCCTCCCCGTTTCCCATTTCCCTCCCCCTCCTCACACACATTGCCTTCTTCCCCAACTCTCCTACCCCTCTCCCCCTTCCCCCCACTCCATTCCCCCTCCCTCTCGAGAATGAAGAGCAGTCCAGATTCCTTGCCCTGCAGGAAGTCCAAGGTCCTCCCACTTCTATCCAGGACCAGGACCTTTTCGATATCTTAACTTTGGGATTCCAAAGATCCTTCTGAGGCCAGAGGGTAAAAGGGAAATGAGAGCCAACCGAAGAAGAGCCTTTGTAATAATTGAATTTAAATTTCCAGATCACTTACTCAAAACCAAGAAACTCAGACAGTCAAAAATCTGGAGTTAGCTGTTTCTTGAAATTCAAATGTTAATTCTAGGATAGTATTGGGACTTTCACTTGTATTGCAATCCAACCAATGGCTCCAAGTAGGATGTAAGGAATGGTAGTAGTTCACCTTGGCACTGAAAAGCCTGTTTTTTACACCGCCTCCTTTACCTCCCTTGCACCTCCCCTTCCGTGGTGGGTGAAATGAGAAGCCACAGCAGGGAGAGGGAGATGGAGCAGAAGGTGGTTACAGTAAAGGACAAGGAGATCTTACCTGACTAATAAGAATGCCTGTGACAATGGCCAGTTGGTGCAGAGTGCCCAGGGCACCTCGGAGCGTGGTTGGAGCGATTTCACCAATGTACATAGGGACCAGCCCTGAAATTAGCCCTGTGTGAGACACAAACATGGACATGTTAAAATGGAACCCGGGACATTTCAGTAAGAAGTATGCAGCTCAATTACAGTTAGAAGGAAGTCACTCTCCAGGTATTTTGAAGGAGCCATTGTCCCCAACTATGGGTCCAGGTAATGCAGAAAATTTTTCTTTTCTTCCTCCTCCTTCTTTTGTTTATTTGTTTGTTTTGATTTTTCAACACAGGGTTTATCTGTGTGACAGCTCACTTCATAGATCAGGCTGGCCTCGAACTCACAGAGATCCACCTACCTCTGCCTACCAAGTTTTGGGATTATGGGCGTATGACACCACTGCCCAGCTACAAAAAACTTTGGTTGGTATTAATTTATGCAGAAATCCTTGATTGACATTTATACTAAATGAAATTTAGAGTAGTTGGAAATATTAATGGAAAAATGCTTAATTATGTATTTGTCAGTTTCTGTGGTCTTAGTGTCTAGTTCATTCATAGTCGTTCAGGTTGTCTTGAGAAAAGAACTTAGAGATGTTTTAGTATTCATTCAGACTTAAAGGATTAGAGAAAGTCAGGGCTGGAAAGATGGCTCAGTGGTTAAGAGCAGTGGTTGCTCTTCCAGAGGACCTGGATTCGATTTCCAACACCACATGGCAGCTCACAATTGTCTGTAACTCCAGTTCCAGAGGATCTAAAGCCTCACACAGACATACATGCATGTAAAACACCAATGCACATAAAATAAGTAAATTTTTAAAAAGAGGAAGTCAGAATGTCAAAGAAAAGCCAACCTCCTGACAGAGGTGAGAAGTGACTCGCCCAGAATCAGGGGAGTAGAGTACCATGCGTAGGTTCCATGCCTAGTTGAGTCCACACCACATGGGGGTACCTCACTATCTGCATTGGGTGGTAGTGAGGTACAGAAGAGGGAAGAGGATATGAAATTCAGCTATCCCAATAAGGATAACCAAGCTTCATTATTACATCAAAAATCTTAGGTTCATAGTTGAACACATGTCCTTGTGGCACCATTGAGCATCTTTTGGATATATTACCCAAAAGTGGTATTACTGGGTTTGAGGAAGGTTGTTTCCTAATTTTCTGAGAAATCACCACACTGACATCCAAAGGGGATGTACCAGCTTGCATGGATAAGAAAAATGTGGTACATTTACACAATGGATTACTACACAGCAGAAAAAAATAATGACATCTTGAATTTTGCAGGCATTTGGATGGAGCTAGAAAACATCATTTTGAGTGAGGTAACCCAGACCCAGAAAGACAATTATCATATGTACTCACTCATATGTGGTTTTTAAACATAAAACAAAGAAAACCAACCCACAAATTACAATCCCAGAGAACCTAGACAACAATGAGGACCCTAAGAGAGACATACATATATCTAATCTACATGGGAAGTAGAAAAAGAGAAGATCTCCTGAGTAAATTGGGGGCATGGAGAGTGTTGAAGGGGAAGGGAGAGGCAGGGAGGGGAGCAGAGAAAAATGTATAGCTCAAAAAAAATCAATTAAAAAAGGAAAAAAAAACTGATGGCCATTTTTACTGTTAATTCTACCCATCCATGAACATGGGAAATCTTTCCATCTTCTGATATCTTCTCCAATTTCTTTCTTCAAATGCTTGAAGCTTTTGTTACACAAATATTTCACTTGCTTGGTTAAAGTTACCCCAAAATATTTTATATCATTTGTGGCTACTATGAAGGGTGTTGTTCCCTTGTTTTTTTTCCTCAGCATGTCTGTCATATGTACATAGGATGGCTAGTGATATTTTTTGTATTCAGTCACATTACTAAAGGTGATTATCAACTGTAGAAATTCCCTGGTAGAATTCTGAGGACCACTTGTGTAACTATCATATCATCTGCAAATATAACAATACTTTGACTTCTTCCTTTTCAATTTGTATCCCCTTGATTTCCTTCGGTTGTCTTACTGTTTTAATTAGAGCTTCAAGTACTATATTGAATAAATATGGAGGGAGTGGACAGCCTTGTCTTGTTCCTGATTTTAATGGAACTGCTTTGGGTTTTTCTCCATTTAATTTGATGTTGCTATCGATTTGCTGTATATTGTCTTTATTATGTTTAGGTATGTCCCTTGTGTCACTGATATCTCCAAGACTTTTATGATAAAGGGTTGTTAGATTTTGTCAAAGGGTTTTCCAGCATCTAATGAAATGATCACGTGGGTTTTTTCTTTCATTTTGTTTATATGGTGGATTACATTGACATTTTTCAATGTTGAACCATTCCTGTATCTCTGGGAAGAAGTTATCTTGATCATGATGGATGATCTTTTTGACAAGTTCTTGGATTCAGTTTACAAGTATTTGAACCTAAGATTTATCTTTTCTTTTCATTGATTTTTATTGAGCTCTACATATTTCTCTACTCCCCTTCTATCCCCTCCCATGGTCCCCATGCCCCCAATTTACTCATGAGATTCTAACTTTCTCTACTTCCCATGTAGATTAGATCCATGCATGTCTCTCTTAGGGTCCTCATTGTTGTCTAGGTTCTCTGGAACTGTGAATTGTAGGCTGGTTTTCTTTGCTTTATGTATAAAAACCACTTGTAAATGAGTACATGTGATAATTGTCTTTCTATGTCTCGGTTACCTCACTCAATATGATGTTTCTAGAGCCATCCATTTGCCTGCAAATTTCAAGATGTCATTATTTTTTTCTGCTGTGTAGTACTCCATTGTGTAAATGTATCACATTTTCCTTATCCATTCTTTGGTTGAGGGACATTTAGGTTGTTTCCAAGTTCTGGCTATGACAAACAATGCTGCTATGAACTTAGTTGAGTCATGTGGCATTCCCCTCTGTATGCTGTGAATACCATTGGTTAATAAAGAAACTATCTTAGGCTGCACAGTGCAGAATAGAGGTAGAAGAAGAAAACTAAACTGAGTGCTGGGAGAAAGAAAGCGAAGTCAGGAGAAGCCATGTAGCCCTGCCAGAGGGAGACACCATGAAGCCACCAAAGGAGAAAGACACAAGCCAGCAGGTGGAACCTTGCCGGTAGGCCACAAACCTTGTGGTAAAATATAAAATAATAGAAATGGGTTAATTTAAGATTAAGAGCTTGCTAGGAATATGCTTGAGTCATTGGTCAAGCAGTGTTTTAAACAATATAGTTCCTGTGTGATTATTTCGGTTCTAGGGACCTGGGAACAAACAAGCAGCCTCCTACTACAGTGGAGCACATATTCTTGTGGTACAATTGAGCATCCTTTGGGTATATACCCAAAAGTGGTATTGCTGGCTCTTGAGGAAGGTTTTTTTCTAATTTTCTGAGAAATTGAAAATGACCACCTTACCAAAAAGCAGACTACAAATTTCATTTGAAAAAAAGACTTAAACACAAATATTTTGAAAAGTACTGAGCCATTATGCTTTCTATATCTTTCTTTTTTATTACATTTATTTATTTAGTCACTTGGTGTGTGTGTGTTGGCTCTCTCTCTCTCTCTCTCTCTCTCTCACACACACACACACACACACACACACACACACACACATACACGTCCATCTGTTCCTGTAAAAGTCAGAGAGGAACCTGTGGGAGTCTGTTCTCCCTTTCCGTATGGTATCCCTCAACTGAACTCAGGTTGTTAAACTCCATGGCAGGTGCTTTTACTTCTGTACCATCTCTCTGGCTTTTTTCTATAGTTTTATTTTTAAAGGTATATTTAATTTTATTTTATATGTATGATTATTTTACCTACATTTATGTCATGTGAGCCTATTGCCCATGGAGGTCATAGAACAACATCAGATCCCCTGGAGCTGGAGTTTCCAGAAGGTTTGTGAGCTGCTGTGTGGGTGCTAGGAGTTGAATCCAGGTCCTCTGAAAGAGCAGTCAGTGCTTTTAACCACTGAGCATCAGCCACTCTAGACCTCCCGTGGCTTTCTTAAACACGCAGGGGATCAGGTATGGTGTAAACAGCGGCATATCCAGACATTCACTAATTGCAGAGTTTGGTGTTTTCTTAAAAATTTAAAAATAAGATTTACTATGGGCTTCCTATTTGAGAATGCTCATCTTCTAAAGAAAATAGATGGTCTTTTGATAAAAGCTACTTTTGTCAAGTATTTTAATATATAATTTATCACTCTACAGTATATAGATGTTGTAAAAACATATTACATGGGTGATGTGGCATTTGCACCTCTGCAGAACTCACATGGGACTCTTACCTGTAGCCTGTGGAAACAGACTAAGAAAAAGTCACCTAGTTGTCCCTTTCTCTATATTTCAGGAAAGAATGACAGAAATAAGCTCTCAGGTCTGAAGTCACAGGAACTTGAATTTAAATTCTATTTCTGGCAAACTTTAATACTCAGAATGCAATGAGACATGACTTTAATGACCGTGGGCAGTACAAGTCACTCAGGAGGGCCAGCTTTATGCTATAGCGTGACATGTTTATAGCATTTATTTTCAATTTTGAAAAAAGATTAATGCTTTTCCCACTGTGTTAAAAAAGTGTGTGTGTGTGTGTGTGTGTGTGTGAGAGAGAGAGAGAGAGTGTGTGTGTGTGTGTGTGTGTGTGAGAGAGAGAGAGAGAGAGAGAGAGAGAGAGAGAGAGAGAGAGAGAGAAGACAAAAGATATTATTTGGACATATTTCATTGTGTTATTATTCATCTTTTATAAAAGAAAGTGAGGCTGAACCTTAACTAATCTGTATAAGGTAGAGCTGGTGCCACAATTGATCCCCTCTGACTCCATGGTGGGAAGTCATATCTGACTCCATATCTGCCTGACTCTCATTTTTAGTTGTTTGTATTAACAGTGAAAATAATGAGAAGAAGCCAGGCTGTGGTGGTGCATGCCTTTAATCTCAGCACTTGGGAGGCAGAGGCAGGTGGGATCTCTGTGAGTTCGAGGCCAGCCTGGTCTACAAGAGCTAGTTTCAGGACAGGCTCCAAAGCTACAGAGAAACCCTGCCTCGAAAAAAAAAAATAATGAGAAGAAATATTTAAGTTATACTTTTTCTTCAACTGATCATTGAAGACACATGGAATTATAATCATTCCTTTAGGTAAAAATTAGAAATAATCATAGAGAAATTTTGTACCCTCACCAATTTTTCCTACCCCTCATGGATGTCTGTGCCTTTGAGGTTACTTCCAGTTTTACTAAAACTGGTTAAAATGCCAGCTCAGAGCCATCAGAATGAAGGGCTAATTGTACTGAGAAGTATGGTATCTATCCATTTGTTTGCAATTGAATTTTCCTATCACTTTTTAGGCCCCTGCCTCAGAGGCAGGGTTTGAAACCCTGTCTCCAAAACCTAGTGCTGCTGCTCAGACATGAAGTTGAGGGGAGGATGGCGTCCACGAGATGTTTTGTTCAATAACCTCTCCCTGTGGACACCACAGTCCCACTGCTCTGAGCAGCTGTGTCTGGAATCAAGAGGGTTAGGTAATATGGTCTAAGAGATCAGTCTAGGGGGTCGGGCCTCCCATGAAAGACACCATAGCACAGGCAGGAATGCAGGGTTAGGGTCTGAGGAGAACATCTCCAGCTGTTGGATCAGCACAGGAGTAGCAACAGCTGGTGATTATCTTCACTTGCTATCTACCTGGTGCAGTGCTGGAAACTTCACATATATCCTCCAGTTCTGACCTTCCCAGTGCTGTGACCCTTTAATGCAGTTCCTCATGTTGTGGTGACCCCCAAACCATAAAACTATTATCATTGCTACTTCATAGTTGTAATTTTCCTACTGTTAAAATCATAATGTAAATATCTGTGTTTTCCGATGGTCTTCGGTGACCCCAGAGGGGTCACGACCCACAGGTTGAGAGTGGCTGCCTTAGAGGCAGCTGTGACTGTCACCGTCATTTCATAGACTAGGAAAGAGAGAACCAGTTTTATGATTTGTCTGGGCTCAGACGAGTAGAGGTGACATCGCTGGAGTGGCCAGCGATGCACACAGCGGCACAGCTCACTCTTACTTCCCCCATCGCCTTCAAATCTGAGAGTGCGTCTCACTCACCACAGTACAGTCCTGATATACTTCTGCCGGCGATGACGAGAATATGTGACGGTCCGAGCTTGGAGCACCCCATCAGGAGAGCTCCAGTCAGTGAGAGGCTGTTGGCGGCCAGCATGGCTTTGATCCTGAAAATATAAAAATAGTTTCCAGTTCAGCACCCAAATGTGAGGAAGTGACTCGTTTTCAGACCATAGGGAGGCTTTTGTGATTACTCTTAGTTTTACTGGAAAGCTAGGTTCAAGGTTCTTGAAGCATGCTTGCTGCTTCCCCATCTACGAACTGATCTATCAGCACTGAGCACTATTTCTTCATGATGAAGTTTAATCTACCTGTCTCTTACTTTCATCGAGACAATTCCCTTGTTTTGCTTTGGTTTTGTGTTTTGGAGATGTGGCTATCACTCTCTAACCCTGGATAGCTGGACCTCACTCTGTGGCCCAGGCTATCCTTGCTTGGGCTGCAGAGTGCTGACATTACAGGCATGAGCCACCATGCCCGCTTAAGTAGGTTGATTTAAGGCAACACTTCTGATACTCAGTTATTTGGTTTTTCTGCAGCTCATTTGTTTTAAACGGCAGTGTTTTGCTGATGAAAAACTGATTTTGTAGTTGCCTCCCATCATTTGTCTCTTTATAGTTTGTTGATAGCAAAGATTTTTAGTTGCTGCTTTGAAGTCAACTTTTCTTTGTGGGTATTTTTTGGAAGTAGAGTAAAACATTTTTCTAAAGTTTGTCATAATTATAATTATCCTTATTTTCACACAAAGTAAAATTTATGAATTAATATTAACCAAATTTAAAGAATTACATTATTTTTGAGACAGGATCTCATTCCAGAGTCTGGCTGGTTCAGAATTCACTCTGCGGCCTAGCCTGGCCTTAAACTGTGGCAAGTCCTGTGTCTCAGCCTCCTGACCCACCGTATCCACTTACTATAAAGCATATTTTTAAAAACTGACAATAGCGATAAAAACATCACTAATAAAAGTGACCATGTGGAAATCACAACTTTCTTGAAAGTTAAGTCAAAAATAATAAAGCGAATACAAAAATCTGAGCAGACGGGTTTGGCAGTGTTGTGCCGCAGTGACGCATACACCCCTGGCTGTGTCCGTGTTGTCGTCTTGCCTGTCCGTGTTTTGGACTCTGGTGACAAAAGGGCTTTTTCTAAGCATATGTCTTCAAGGTGAAACACACTTTTCCCTTAGAGAATAAAACTGTCTACGCTGCAGTAACTGCCTGACAGCCATGTGTAGGCTGAATGGTGTCCCCTGAGAGCCCAAGTCCTAATCTCAAGCTCTGTAACTGTCACCTTATTCAGCAAAAGGTGTTTTGTGGATGTGATGACGATAGCAGTCCTGGGAAGGAGGAGTGTCTTGGAATATTCAGATAAACTCAGTGAAACCACAGGTGTCCTTATAAGAGCAGGGCAGAAGAGGAGAAGTTATCAGAAGTGGGCAATGGAGTGAGACACTTTTAAGTGTGCTGGGTAGTTTTATGTCAACTTGATACAAGCTAAAGTCATCTGAGAGGAGAGACCTCAATGAACAAAATGCTTTCATAAGATCAGGCTGTGGGCAAGCCTGTAAAGACATTTTTAACATTAATGATTGATAGGGGAGAGCACATTGTGTGTGGTGCCATTCCTGGGCTAGTGGTTTGAGATTCTACAAGAAAGCAGGCTGAGCAAGCCATGAGGAACAAGCCAGAAAGCAGCACCCCTCTATGTCCTCTGCTTTAGCTCCAGGTTCCTTTCTGTTTGAGTTTCTGTCCTGACTTCCTGAGATGAGGGGCAGCGCTGTGGAAGTGTATAAACCCTTGCTTCCCCAAGCTGCTTTGGTCCTGGTTTCTTCACAGCAATAGCAACCCTAACAAAGACAGAAATTAGTACCAGGGCTAGGGTGCTGCTGCAGCAGACCTGGCCATGTTTTGGGGAGGATTGTCGAAGGACTTTGGACCTTTAGGCTGGAAAAGCCATTGAGGGTTGAGAATTCAGTGAGCTGTTCTTAGGAGCTTGAAAGATAAAAAAAATGTGGGCAGTACAGAAAACGGAGGCTGACTTGTACAGTTTCAGAGGGGCGTGAAAGACTCTGTTGGGGCCATTTGTTATTTTGAATTAATGTTATGTGATTCTGGTTAGCTGGGGCTGAAGAATCAGTTGTGACTAACAAGATACCAGAACTTTTGGGATATTCGATGCTGGCCAGGTGAAGCTGAGAAATTGGTGGTGATCAAGAAGAGACCAACATTGATGAAGTGAAGTCTTCTGGGAAGTGTTCTCTGAGAGCAGACAGAAGCTGTCTTCCAGAGGTGACTGCGGTGGTTTGAAAGAAAATGGCCCCCAAAGGAAGTGGCATTATTAGGAAGTGTGGCCTTGTTGGAGTAGGTGTGATCTTGTTGGAGGAAGTGTGTCACTGTGGAGGCAGGTTTTCAGGTCTCACATAATGTTCAAGCCATGCCCAGTGAGACGGACCACTTCCTGTTGCCTGCAAGCCGAGATATAGGGCACTCATCTACCTCTCCAGTGCCATGTCTGCCTGCTTGCTGTCATGTCCCACAAAGATGATAATGGACTGAACCGCTGGACTGTAAGTGACCCACCACAAAGAAATGTTTTCCTTTATTAGAGTTGCGGTGGTCATGGTGTCTCTTCACAGAAAAAGAAATCCTAACTAAGGCAGTGGCCAATGTTGTAACTCATGCTGACAGCTGAACTTGGTAGTGTAAGAGTCACCCAGGCAGAGATGTGGAGGCTTGGCAGTACAGAGAGAACCTATGAGAAGCTATTGGTGAGAGTGTAGTCCAGTTGCAGCAGAAATCCCCAGTACTTTGTAGATCCCAGTACCAAGGGACAACTACCAAGAACAGTAGCAGCAGTGGAGCTGAGCCTGCCTGAGCTTAGAAGGTACGCTGTGTGTACTGCAGAGGGTGGAGATAGAGAAATGAACCAGCCATTGTTTGGCGGAGCCCAGAAGATGGTGAGTGAGTCCCAGATATTGGATATGGAGTTATGTATGTAGCTGGAGTTTACCTTTGCTATGTTCAGACTGTGACTCTGCCCTGGTTCTTCCCCCTTGAAGTAAGGAAGTATTTATCTTAACTTCAATTTTTTTTTCAGGAGCTGATTTCAAACTTTTATAAAAGATTTTGGATTTTTAAAGAGACGGACATGCTAAGTGTGAATTTTTAATGTGTTTGAATTTGTAAAGGCTACGGGACTTTTAGAGATGGGAAGGAGCTGTGAGCAATAGGGCACCAGTAGTAACTGGCGAGGACAAGGCAGGGGTTCGCTCCTCAGAGCTTCCAGAAGGAAGCAGTCCTGCTAATTTCTTGGCGTTAGTCAGGTATAATGAATGCTGGAGTTCTGACCTCCGAAACTAAAAGGAAATGAATTTGTGTTGTTTGGGTCACTAGGCTGGGGATAGTTCATCACAGTGGGGAGAGGGTGTAAGGAAGTCATGGACCGACTACCTTAGAGTAGGCAGTGTTGTAGCGCTGGCTAGCCCTGGAGCTGTGTGCAGAGACTTTAAAGGACACCTCTGCTCAGACTGTGAGGGAATGCTTTTTCTATTTGTGAGGAAAGGGGATGAACAAAGCTAATAGTTTACCCTAAGCAGTTGTTACGAGCTGAGAAAGTCTATTCTAACAGGCAAGGAGAAGATGAAAATAGAAGATCAGGAAGTCAGCAGAACGTCTTGGTGGAGCAAGTGTCCATCCCTCCCTTCATGAGGCCTCATCCCTCCCTAAGGATTCATAGACAACAAACTTTTGCTGCAAGAAGGAGACCACTTTTTCCCAGTGGTATGGCAACTGTTCTGTTGCTCGTGCTCCTGAAAACAACCTTCTTCCATGCTGGTATAAGTTATCGATTAAACTCATTAGTTCATGAAGAAAGAAACAAAGAAAAAAGGAAAGAGATGAAAACATAAGGGGCACTGGTTGGTAAGAGGGAGGGGATTTGAGGGCGTACAGGAGTGGGAGCAAGGGTATTGGGGTATAAATATGATAAAATACATACTATACATGCATGAAAATGTTACAATGAAACCCAGTAATATGTATAATTAATATACGCTTTAAAACTTAAATAATTTAAAATTATTTAGTAGCACATTTCTTCAATTCCAGTAATTCCTGAGTAGGGAGTCGAAGGCAGGCAGACCGCGTGAGATCACATACAAATCACATACAAAATTAGGAGGTTTCTTACCTAAGGATATTACAGTAACCTGGACTTTATTCTATTCTTGAAAAGAAGTTTCCTTCATGAATAGTCAGCTTCTACATTTTTACTGTTTTTTTTTTGTGTTTTATACAATTTTAGCAGAAGAAAGTATCAGAATTTTAATAATTAATGCACCCAAAACTACAATTTATATTAGGAAAGATGAAGTGAATTAAGTCCAGTATTAAGCTCATTGCCAAATTGCCTCTTTTCCTTCCATTTTCCCTTAAGTTTTCCATGTTTGGCATGTGTTAATTCTATTGTGAAAATAAAAGGTAACTAACACACAATAAGTGGATTCAATTAACAGGAAATCCTTGTAAAAGTAACTCGCAGTTCTAATTTATCGGAAGCCCTAACTTTGGGACACCCATTATCAAGTGCATGAAGGGGCTGACTCCATTGATTTATTTTTTCATTTGTTTAGGTTTTGAGTATGTGCATATGTGTCTCGGGTGTGGGTTTGTGCAAGTGTGAGCGTAGGTGCTCTTGGAGGCCCCGAGTGTGAATTGGGTCACACTCAGGATCTGAGTGTGAACTGGGTCACCTGTAGCGAGAGGTATAGGTGGAGGGCGCTGGGAACCAAATCCAGGTCCACGGCAAATACAGTATCGCCTCTTAGCCTCTGAGCCATCCCCCTCCTCATGACACTGACGTTTTTAGTCCTGACCAGGGAACAAGAACTGGAGTAGGGAAGCATTGATTAGAGTCATTTCTGGTTGGGGCTTTGAGATCATAGCCGGAGCAGCAGCAGAACGTGGACACCCTGTGTCCAGGGTGTGGTGACTTATCAGGATATGAAGGTGACCATAGGACTTGACTAATACAAGTGTCAAATTTTAATTTAAAAATGAAAAGAATGTTTGATAGCTAGTATAATTTGGCGACACTTCCTCCCAGGTTTTAAAACTTACAAAGCTAGAAGTTCAAAGTCTCTAAAAGCACACACGGAATTCACTTTTTCTGCAAACACTTCCACAGCAGCCAGGATTTACCAGGTGATTGCGACAACATTTTCTATTTATTTGGCCTAATGGTGACCTCGCTCACAGATTCCAAGCTGAAAAGCTGCTCTAACACCATCCCACAAATGGGAAGATGGTATCTTTCTATCAAAGCAGTAACGAAGTATTACAGCTGTGTTTATATTTATTTGTAAAACTCACCTTCCAAGCTTGTCTCCTAGCCACCCACCAAAGAACGAGGCGATCATTCCACCCACTGCGAAGCTGGACACAGACAGAGACCAGAGCATTGTGATGACTTGAGCGGAGCCTGCAGCCTTGTCTTCTGCCCAGGGGGCTGGTGTGGTGTATTCCGGTGTGACTATGAGTGGGGTGTCTGTGCTGTTGATGTCATGGATATTGGCAACTCTTCGATCATCCACTGCAACACCCAAAACCCGTTGATAATGGGATATTATTACCTGAGGGAACAGAGGAAGACATCCATGACTTCAAAATTGCACATACAGCCTTTTGATTTCCCTGTAGATGTTTGTTAGGTGTTTGAACAGGGCAGCGTAATTGTGTGCGCTGTGCAGGACAGATGTGGGTAGACTGGTTGACAGTTGGCCACAGGCAGCGGGAGCAAGGCGGGAAGAGACGCCTGAAGGAAGTGTGAAGAGCCTGGATCAGCACCCTGAAGTGCACTTTCTGCCGGTAGGTCGATGACGGCAGGTGCTTGGCTTTGTGGCATGGCAGCGTCTGCTCCAGCTGAGCGAGTAGGCTGCGAAGGAAAGGCTCATTGATGGGTAGTCTTTGTTTTCGAAATACCTGCCAGAGAGCCAGGCTTTTAGGAGAGGCTTTCGAGGTTTGAAATGTTGACAACTACTTACACTGAAGATATTCTTCAGGTAGAGAAGGTAGATTTTTATATGAGTGTTTGTCAACAGTAACATAAAAGGAGAATTCTATTGGCAAAGCTCAGAGTAAAACCTAAAGTTGGTACTATATACAATTTTAGCATCTAGTGTTACATCACTGGTACAAGTAAACTGTAAATTTAGCCACAGGCTCCCAGTTAATGCAAATAGATCCAAGTGGTCAAGTCTAGAGTTGATGAATTTTCAAGATAAAAACAGCTTAGATAGAATGGGGAAGGTATAAAGGCTTCTGCTGTGGGTCTTCAGAGAGGTCAGTGTATCCCAGAAGGAAGAGTCCTCAATGCTAGCTTTCCAGCCACATTTTATACGATGTTTCCGTGTCATGAAGCTAGCACATCCTGCAGCTTTTCCTCCGCCACACCGTGCTTCTCAGCATCAACTGGTCACTGTTCAGTCCCGGGAAGTTGGAGAGTCCCTCTCCAACAAGGACCTGGACCAGAGCTGCTCCCTCTTCCTGGTTATGAATATGGTCCTGTTTGTAAAGCAAGTGGAGCCACGGGGAGATTTGGCATTCTCTATGCAAGGTCTGGTCTCATCTACAGAGATAGTATGCATGGAGAAAGGTGGAAAAGAATTACGAAAAATGTTCTTAGCAGTTTAATATATGGAATAAAAATTAATTGCAGGTGATTTTATATTCTGTTTTTTGAAGTGGGCAAGTGTAACTTTTTTGCTCATGAAAAGTTATGATTTAAAAATACCTTCAAATGTTCTTCAATCAATAGAAAATGCCTACCAGCATTTTTTACCTTCCAGGGTCTGTGCTTTCAGTTCTGACTTGGGCTTAGCTTGAAGGAGGAGCTATCTCAGTCTAAGCTCTCTGATAACACTAGAGGATGAATTCAGTGAGGTTGTAACGAGGATTTCCCGAAAGAAAGGATTTCTAGATTGGCCTGGGTCTTAGGAGGCTTAGCAAATCAGCGCTTTGTCATGGTTCATAGAGAAACATCTGACTCTGGTCTCCTGTCCCTCATCCCAGAATTGTTCCCTGGAAGCCAGAACGAGAGGCTTGACACGCTATGAGTGACGTGTGCTTAATAAAAAGCCATCTTTCAGCCCTCAGAGTGGAGGAAGAGTCCTTGTCGGGACTGTGGGCTGCACACAGTCCAGGGTTCACACCCTGGGGCACCTTACTTTTTTCTTAGAACTGTAAGAAAAGCAGACAAAATGATGGAATATGATAGATGTATTTATAGCACCCCCACACCCCACAATTTTATTGTACCCCTTCCCAAGGAATATTCTCTCCAAGTCTGAGTCCTGGTCCCCTAACTAAGGGGCCGTGGCAGCTGGGAAGAGCGAAATGTCTCTCTGAGGATTCCCTGCGAAACAGAGCCCAGACCTAGAATATGCTCAGAAATGTTGGGAATGGTCTGATATCTTTCCTTAAAAAGTGCCATGTACATTCTCCATCACAGTAGAGAAAATCCAACCTTGTGGAGCCTCCCTCTTGACTACTGAGCGTCTGTTTATTTTGTGCTGAAGATCTATGGGAGACAGGGAGAGGGGAGGACTCCTAAAGTTTCTAACCTGCCATAGAAATGAGGTTGGGATGGTCTGGTTGTGGAAAGTCTGCTACAGAGAGATAGGTGTTTATGATTGCACTGAAGGCGTCCTTCTGCCATTCCTCCTTGTTCCCTGGTGTTTTCCCCCCTGGGGGAGGAACAGCTGGGACTGAATGCTGTGAGGAATTCTTGCGTCTAGGCCTCCTGAGCAGGAGCTTATTAAGTCAGCATTTTCTCTGAGCTCAGAGAACAGCAGTGTCAGAGATAAAAAGTTATGCTCTTTTTGACTCAGAGGGTTGTTAACCCAGGAGTCAAGGCCAATTATCAGCTGTGAGTCAGTGCCCATTGTACTTAGCTGGTCAGGCTCACCCCTCGTCTCTCACGTGGACAGTTTATCTTAGAGTGTGAGGAACATATGATACGAAATGACAGGACCTGCCCCCAGAGAAATGCGTGTGTTTCACTTGCCTCTTGAGGTGCGTTGATCACGCCGATGTCATATCCAAACTGGAAGGAACCCAGCACAGCAGTGAAGACAGTGAAAGCCAAGGTTCCCGTGATCTGAGGATGAGAAACAAAGCTAAGAAGCTGCAGTGTCTGCCACCTGATCTCCCGTGTCTGTCGCGTGGACTCCAGCAGGCTCCTTCTTTCCCTCCTACAACCATTCACGGTAGCCCTGCTCAGCAGGGCCTGTCTTATTCTAAGGGAATGTGGAAGCTGTCCACCATTTTACATTGCTAACGCTGAAAGAGAACGGGAAAAACACAGCAGGACAGCTTTTGCAGGGTACAAACCTAACATTCCCCTTGTGTCTTACACACACGTGCATACACACACACACACACACACACACACACACACACACACACACACACACGACAGGGAAGGGGAGCAGGGAACAAGGAAAGGTAGAAAACAAAGGCCAGGCAGATTTTGAACTCCCCGTTTTGTAGCTGAGGCTGATGTGGAATTGTCTGCTCTCCGAGACCTCACCTCCAGAGAGCTAGAATTACAGGCACACACTACCATACCCTGCTTATGGGCTGCTGGGGTAAGCCCATAGTCATGATAGGCAAATGCTTCACCAACTGAGTTTAAATCCCACATCAATATTTTTTCAAGATTCAAAGTCAGAACCAAGAATCAGAATGGTGCTGAAGGGAAAAAGAACTCCCTGCGCAGAACAGTCCTGTGGGAACGCCAGAAGAGATGGGACCTTTCCAGACATTTCCACTCCGCAGAAACACCCAGCGCTCGCCTCAGAGCCGTCCTGTTTGACGCCATCTGTACCAGCATTCAGGCAAGAGAACTCAGGATTCACATTCGGCTGAGCATGGAGCTGTGAGTTAAGCTACACTGCTTTCTCTCCAAGGTGAGGACGCTACCCTAAGATCTCAGAGCATTAACTCATAATCAACTACTCAACCAGTCAGCTGACAGGAATCGTGCGCGCACACTCCCAGGCCCGGGTACTTAGAGCAGCGGCTGCAGAAAGAGCTGTCCCTCAATATGGATGACCAAACAGATTCAGTCACATCATGAGACACACCAGATACATCCCACACGCTAGGCAGCAACTCGAAAGGATAACGTGACCAAATATATTGGTTTTTTAAAAGAAAATAATTAAAAGCAGCAGCGAGGGGCCAGGTGCGTCGGGAGGACGCTGACATGCTCTCCATACTACCAGGTAGCCTCTCAGACGTGAGGCGAGGCATAAACACAGCTTCAGAACCCAGAGCTGAGGATGCTTCCTGCGTGCCTAGTGGCTCTTTTCCGCGGATTATCTCATTTATTCCTAGCATTAATTTTCCATTGATGCTATAAAAATTTCCTGCTAACTCAGTGGCTTTTAAGCAATTCAACCTAATTTATTCTGTAGGTCTTCGGGTTAGAGTCTAGTCTGAGAGTCTGCGGACTATACTCAATATGTTATCAGGCGGTGTCCCCTTTGATACCGAGTTGATGGTAGAATCCAGTTCCTCACGGTGGTAGGACCCTGAGCTTTCCTGCTGGCTGCAATTGGAGGTGGCTCAGTCGCAGAGGCTAGCATGCTCCCTGGCTAAGGGTGCTCTTCCTGCATCTTTACAGTCCACAGTGACAGGTCATGTCCTTGTCAGGTTGCATCTCTCAGATCCTGACAAGTCTTTCACTTTCAGGAATTCATGAGGTCAGATTTAACACCTCTGTGTAAGCCAAGACTACCTCTCCACCCGAGGCCTTTAGCAGATACCATCCTCCACAACTCATCTAGGTGGTATGGCCATATATTTAGGCTGGAGAAGTTTTACTCGTGATAGGGAAATTTTGTGAGAACTGCTAAGCACAGAAAACCCACCTGCCTTCATGACCCATGCTAATGGCGAAGGGATTGCCATGGGCAGCTAGATAGAGCTAAGACAAGCTGTGAGGACCCAGAGGGGTCTCACCCAGTCCACGCTTTGGGTTCCTAAAGGGTTGGCCTATTCTCTCCAAGACCCTGCATATTGTCCTCGTTCCCACTTGGGGAAAGGTAGAGATGGAAGGAACCTGGAGAGAAGACAGGCGAAGGAAAACCCTCCGGTTTTTCCTGGAAACGACATGGGCTGGGACTGCTAAGCTGGGAGCGTTTGCCAAGGTCAGTTTTTACTTGGGGTTTAATACATTTTGGTTAGAGAAATTTGTTCCCACGTCCAATTTATAATATATTGCAGATAAGCATGGAAGAACAGAGTAAGCCAGAAGCATGGGACCAGTGAGGTGCTGCCTAGCTTGTGAGTTACATACCTGGGACTCCTAAAAGTTGTCTTCTGTGACCTCCACATGCGCATTGAGACAGGAGCATGCGTGTGCACGTGGACACACATGCACACCCACACCCCCCCACACCCACGCTCATGCCACGCACACAGTCATGTGCGCACACACATGCCAACATGAAGAAAAGTTTTAAATGTAACATGAAAGTAGTAGAAGCTTCACAGGAAACCACATGTGGTATTGTTTTGTGGCTAGGAAGTCATATGCCATCGATTGGCACAGAGAAGCAGTTGCGAAAGTCAGGAGGCATGGAAAGGGGGTCTAGGTGGCCTCTAGTATCCCTGTACCCCAGCTCCTTTACCTTTGAAGTGGCAGTAACAACGGGTAATAGCTGGGCTTGTGAGACTGGCACACCCTGGCTGAGTTCCGGATTATTGTAAAAGTGGAGATAAGTAATGTGGTCTCCTTTAAGTGGAGGGCACAGAGCAAATCCCTTTCTACCTGGATCACCATCATCTCACAGATTGCTCCTATGAAGCAGCCTTCTATCATCTTTTCATATATCATTAATAACCTCCAAACAACATGGAAAGCAGGTAGGGCGATCTCTTCTCTTGACTGGGGAAGCCGTGCCAGGGTGTGGAGGGGGCATTAGAGGCTAAAGCGCTCCTGACCCTAACTAGTCTGGGTAGATATCCTAGTACGAAGCATTTGAACTTCACTGCTAAACAAAAGAGCAGACTTTCCAGCGCCGACTGATTGATTAGGAAGGGGGAAATGTGTGATTTGCCTCCACACGCTGCCAAAAGCCAAACCAAAGGGGACTTTACACCTGGTTTTGGAAACGGCCAGACACTTTTCATACCATAGAATTTTCAGACTGAAAAGAATTTAAAAAGAGACAGATGTGTGTCAGATACCTTCACAGATAAACAGAAGAAACAGAGGACTCACAGATCCTTGTCTGAATTTCCTGTGCATTGCGGGCATGTCCAGTCTGACACTAACTTCCCTGAGCCATCATCCCCTCATTATCCCTTACATTCCAGCAGATTCCCAAGCCTGAAATGCCCTGTTCTTTCTTTCAGTCAGTCCTTACACCTTCTGGGTTCTGATACTAGGCGGCTCTTTGGTTCTTGAAGACTGTTCTTTCAGTTGAGTATCTAAAGCACCAGGGGATTTGCCAGAGCCTGAAGGCTGGCTCTGAGACGGTGCTTTTGACTATGTCTTCTAGACATTAGGTATATGGATGCTGTCTTATCGTAGTTACTGAATCTGCACGCCATCCCTGCAGTTACTAATTTGATGCCCACCCACGAATCATTATTATAGTTCTCCTTCTAATAGCTTTATCCTGAGCTATAGAACTCACAATATCCTGATTCTGGGGTCATTCTTTAAATGTGCAGTATGCAAATACATCACTGACATTTAAACGTTTGCCCGCTAAGCCTTTCTAATGTTGCCTTTACTTACTCTCAAAGTCTGAAGAGATTACTTCATTCACAGACTACTAAAATAAAGAGAGATAGTCCCTATCAGACTCTAAGAGCCATCATTCGATCACAATATAAAAAAATGAGGCTCAGTTGATTTAATCTGAGTCTCAGGGGCACCCATAGTATTAGATCCACACCCAAGGCTGGCATACAGTGTCATTCATGAAGGAAGGCTCAGGTCAGTATGTAAGGGTCCCACTCTTCTCAGGGGTACAGATTCATCAGCTTCTATTACCATATAGGGAAGCTTGAAACCATACGAGAATGAACATACCCCTTTGAAGGTTTTATTTGGAAAAGGATTCTATCTTCAGAGAGGTTGAAATCCCAAAGACATGAAAACCCCATGGCCTTCCTTCTGCTTACCCATGATTATCTCACATTCTCCACATTAGTTTCTTATTTAGACTGAACCATTTAAAAATAAGCTGTGGATTATTTGTGTCTGATGGCTTCGACAGGGACAGGCACTTTCCCTAAGGACAAAGACATCTTCCTGTCTGATTGCGATGTTGCCAGACCCAGGAATACAACACCGAGTGCACCAATGTCACCTAAGGGTCTGCCCAGAGCCACGTTCTCCAGTGTGTACTCTATCAGGCCTTCCTTCTGCTTCCCACAGTCTGAGGTAACCAGCCACAATGCCGTCAGTTCTCAGCCTCTTAATTTAGAACAGATTTCCCCTTTCGTCTTTCATACATGGGCATTTTTGAACATTCCAGATCTCTTCAAGGTCAGAGTCCGGTGAACCTGCCCTAACTTTGGGGGCAGTAGCACACTTCTCCAGTGACAGGCTATACATTGGCACTTGGGCAAGTTATACAGATTAATCAAAAACCAGCTAATATCCTTAAAACTCTGATTACTGAATAAGAACCCGGTTTTGCTTAGCAGCCAAATGGATTAGTAATTGACCAAGTAAAGAGATAGCTTGCACCTGTGGTCACTGCATCCAGTGTCACCAACAGTTTTATGTGCTCGCTGACTTGAACAGATTCCCAATCTCCGCAACACTAAATCAAATGAACCCAAGCTTGCTTTACCTTGTCTTCTGACATTGTGTGTGTGGGAGTTGTCCTCTTACTCCCAGGTCCTGGACTGAAAGTGGATGAGCTGCTGACCAGCCAGAGTCCTCGGCTCTGCCTGGTTATACATTGTAGGAGGAGGAGCAAGCCGAGGTGAGGCTAGAATATTGATGGTACTCCAATCAATGTGCCCTTTACCTCGGTGACCTGTTCGCCCGCAAAGAAGTGAGGCTAGGTGTAACTTAAGAACCAGAGGCAGGCACGTGCTAAGGGCTGGTAAGTGCGGCAAAAGAGCAGCCCGTGGGGTGTTTTGGAGAAGCTGAGGTATGCTGTGTTGTGGCAAAGACGACGGCAGGAGTGTGGAGGGTGTAATGCAGTCTGCTCTGCGGAGGACCGGGGCTGTGGGCTTGTGCTGTAGAGCGGGCTCTGTGGTTAAGGACTGGAGACATCAGTCACCTGAATGAGGTTTGGAGAGGTGTGGGCTGGACTTTGAATCACAGTATCTTACTGAGGGTCACCTTAAGCAAGGGAGTCACTGTGACTTTTCTGAGTCTTGGGTTTGTATTGTTGCTTGTTTTTTGACCTGATAAAGAGATAAAAGCACACACATATTTGTTTTGTTGAGGGGCTTAAAGGAGATAACACGATATGTGTTTAGCACAACCTAGGTTCTCCATAGATGGTGGTGACACACTTTCTGTTGTTGTTATTAGTTCAGTGTATTTCAATATATGATTGCAGAACCAGATGTGGCACACATCTGTAAGGCTAGCACTGCCACCACAAGAGGGCTGTGAGCTGGAGGCTCATTGGAGTATATGGGAGTTGCCGGCTAGCCTTGGCTACATAGAGAGACCCTGCCTGGGGGAGGGAGTGCACTTAGTGTGATAGCCTTGGGTTCTCAGTGAACCCTGCTTATATGGCTTCAGCCTGTTTCTTTCTAGGAATCCCCCGTGACATCTGATCCAAGAATAATAAGGGAGGGAGCAGAGTTAGTTTAGCTCTCCTTGTAACTGGCAGCGAGGGTTGCTAAGTTCCGCAGAGGTCCTCTTGAGCCAGTGCACAGCAGAGGGAATGGAAGAAGCAACAGCAAAAGGGCGGGAATGCCAAGGTGGGGAGGAAGCTGGATTTAATTTGTCTGCCATTTCCCCCACCTCTCCTCATTTCTCATTTCCATCTCTCTCTCCATTCCTTCCTCCCCAACCCCGTGTGTGTGTGTATGTGTGGTATATGTGTGTATGTGTGTACGTGTGGTATATGTGTGTGTGGTATATATGTGTGTGAATATATATATGTGTGTATGTGTGTGTGTGTGGTATATATTGTGTGCGAATATATATATATATGTGTGTGTGTGTGTGTGGTATATGTGTGTGTGTGGTATATATGTGTGTGAATATATATATATGTGTGTATGTGTGTGTGTGGTATATATTGTGTGCGAATATATATATATATATATGTGTGTGTGTGTGTGTGTGTGTGTGTGTGGTATATGTGTGTGTGTGGTATATATGTATGTATACTCCTCTGGGTAGAGGCCAGGGATTGATGCTGAGTGTCTTCCTCTATTACCCTCTATCTCATTATTTGAGACCAGAGCTCAGAGAACCTGAAAGCTCCGAGTCTGGGAGAGGCTGACTGGTCAGTGAGCTCCAGGCATCCCCCCAGATCTGCTCCAGCACAGGGCTTACACTGCCTGGATGTGTGATGGGACTTGAACCCAGGCCCTCTTGCTTTCACAAGTGCTCTTCCCCACTGAGCCATCTCTTCAGGCCCTCATGTCTGAGAGGTAAAAACACGTGAAACACCCAGTTTTCGAAAGCAAATAATTCAATTAGAAGCCCAGACATCAGTGTAGCTCAGCATGGTTGTTCCTCTAACACGCCACAGAAGAGAGGCAGCCTCTTCATGCCTGGACTTCACATGGAAGTGGGGTTATAGCCTGCATTGTCTCTGAAAGCAGGCTCAAGAGTGCTGATATAGCAAGGCCTTAATCTTTAGTGTTCCCTCCTAGGCCAGTTCCACCTTCCAGGGCATGGGTGGTCTAATCTTCACAGAGTGCTCCCCTTTGGCACCAGGCCTCACATCGCCCCTTGATGTGCTGGCCCGTATGCGTCCTGTCCTCAGCACCATGGATGACCCGGAGAGGAAATGCCTTGGCAACCGTTGTCCGCTTACTTGGCCCTGCACAGACCACGCCTGTACTGGTAAAAGGAAGGAGAGCTGTCCTGAAGGGCTTTTTTTTTACCTTTGTCTTTATAAGCCTGCATTGAAGTAAGGCATTTGTCTTCATTGTAGCAGCTGCTGGGAGACTCTGCTCTTCCCCCACTGAAAATGCCGTTCATCTCAACTATCCAGCTTCTGGGGCTGGGTTAAAACTACCTGCAGGTTGAGGATGGAAGAAGCATACTGCACAGGTTGATTTTTGTGGCTTAGTTCAAACTGCAGACCGGCCTTGTGGTGAGCTGCGAATATAGTTAGCTTCAGGAAGCACAGAGGAGCTGCGGGCTTCTGTGGGGTAAAGTCTGGAAAGCAAGCCCGACTTTTTGCACTTTGCCCTGGAATGACGTCTATGCACTGAGCACCCATAATCACTCCGAGATTCCCTGCTGCCCTGCCAAGGCAGTCTTGCTTAGTTTCCATCTGTCTCGGTGCTCCCGTGCAGAGATTCCGGGCAAGCACAACCAGTACTGGGTACTAGGGATTGTGTTCAGGTCCTTCTGTTTGCAGAGAACATGCTCTTACCCACTAGGTGGTATCCCCAGACCTGGCTTTATACTTTCAAACCTTTTGGGTCACATTCTTGTTACATCAGTAATTAAGAGAGGATATGCCAAGATTTGTAATTGATGACCTCACCTGCCTCTCTCCCCTTTGTTCTTTCCTTTCAGTAGAGTGAGAGGAGTTAGTTTTTTGTTTTCTCTGCAAACGAGAGGGGAGGAAACAGCCCAGAGAAGCTGCATTTCTCGCTGATGGAGTCAGGTGCAGGTAATGGCAAAAGGCATGCGTGCAAACTTGACCATACCAAGAGGGCAAGGGCTCATGGGAAGAGCTCAGTCCTGAAGGTCAGATCCTCCTCCTGGCCACCCTGGTTCTCTTAATGTGGAAATCAGGATTGATTTTGAAAGCTAAATTACATCATGAAACCTGTTTGCAAGTTCCCAAGGTCCAACATCACAGACAGTAGAAATTCCTCAGAGGTCAAACTTCCTCTGAGGTAGGCCTGACTCTGAGGCTGTCTTTCCTACTCAGCACTCAGTCTTCTGAACTCTGAGATCTGTCATAGTACCAGGGAGACAGACAGCAGCCATGGATGGGACCGTGTAGACCCCGGGAGTGGTTTCACGTGATTGACAATGGGAAATCACCCGTGAGAAGAGGCATGGGAGTACTACAGTCCACTGTTCATTTTAAGAGTACTTCTGATGGCTGGGAATGTAACTCAGTGGACAGAGTGCTTGCCTGGCATGCACAGAGCTTTGGCTGGATATGATCCCCAGAATCTCAGAAACTCTGGGCTGTGGTGGCACATGCTTGTATCCCTGTGCCTGGGAGCAGAAGCAGGAGGATCAGGAGTTCAAAGTCATCCTCAGCTACTTGGGGAGTCTCCAGAGCACTTTGAAGAAGCCCTGTCTCAAAAGACAACAACAAAATAAAATGAAAAGATAATCCCCGCTGTTGTGCGAAGGGTGGATTGGATGGGGGCATCAACAAGAAGGAGACGCCAATCACAAGAGCACTGTGACCATTCATGCTTGCTTCTGGCTGCCAGAACTAATGGCAGGGGAGAAAGAGAAGTAACAAACCTCAGGGGACATCAGAGAGTGGTATTTGTATATAACTGACTTTAGGAGAAGTGGGGATGGAGATGACGAGTCTCTTTCTTGCTTGCTAACCTGGGGTAACAGGTACTATTTGCAGCTGCCTTCTTGCTAACTTGGGGTAATGGGCACTATTTACAGTTGACTTCTCGTTAACCTGGGGTAAAAGACACATTTACAGTTAGAGATGTTAGAGGTTTAATCATCTGAGTAGTGACCTAGATTGCCCTCCGGGACCCCATAAAATGAAGCAGATGTACTTTGCTGCACTTTGTAAAAGATGAAACTTTCTGAGGCATTCACCAGTTTGCATGTAGTTCTGCGACATAACACAGAGGGCCCATGTGTGCTTTGTCCTGGTTCCCCTTATAACATCATGTAAGGCCATGACTATATATCATGACCAGGTTATTAATCTGAGTGGCCAAGGTACAGTTCACAGTTCGCCCCTGGTGACAAAGATCCCCGCCTATCTTCTGCAACCATGACCCATTTCCTCTTAAGTGTCCGGACTTTAAATCTGGGCAGTCGTCCTGTTCTCCAGGTGTATGAGCCTACCATTTTGATTGTGATTTAAAACATGAGAGAACACTCAGCTTTACTCAAGATGGACTAGGGGAGGTGCAAGTCCCATCTAAATGTGCCTTCACAGGCACCTCCCCAACATGTTTGGCTGAAAACCTGGATGCCTCTGATCTAGGAAAGTTGACATAGCAAATTAATCATTATCGTATGTTGTGTTTCCTTTTTCCACCCAGGAGAATTCCCTTGAGTTACCCTGCTCACGTGTGTCAGCAGTTTTCACTGCTGCACAGTCTGCCACGGTACAGCTATCCTGCAGCTGACTGACGTAGCTATCCTGCAGCTGACTGACATGTTGCACAGTGTGCCACGGTACAGCTATCCTGCAGCTGACATTCTTCACAGTGTGCCATGGTATAGCTATCCTGCAGCTGACTGACGTAGTTATCCTGCAGCTGACTGAAATGCTGCACAGTGTGCCACGGTACAGCTATCCTGCAGCTGACTGACGTAGCTATCCTGCAGCTGACTGACATGTTGCACAGTGTGCCACGGTACAGCTATCCTGCAGCTGACTGACATAGTTATCCTGCAGCTGACTGAAATGCTGCACAGTGTGCCACGGTACAGCTATCCTGCAGCTGACTGACGTAGCTATCCTGCAGCTGACTGACATGTTGCACAGTGTGCCACGGTACAGCTATCCTGCAGCTGACT